AATGCAGCGATTGCTTATAGAATTCAGTAGAGTGAAAGCAGTGAAACCAAATTTGGTTTTGCAGTTTACCCACAAAGGAGTGGCGTGTCTTTAGACAGGAGTCTACTCTTCAATACCCCTCACAGGGGAGGAGAGCACCTTGCCCACAGTGGACTGCTTCTCATCTGTGCAGCATTGGCGCCCCCTGTCAGCTCAGTGTCGTTCCTGCTCTTCTCAACCCTCTTCATGAAGCAAGGAGGTGCAGAGTATTAAAGAAATACAAGGGAAGTAAAGTCAGGATGGAGAATGTCAGCACAGTGAAGACGTGAGCAAAGCAAGCACCCTGGCTCCATTACAGCTACAAATTGAAGGAGTATTAGGTCAACATTTTTCCCTCTCTCTCTCGTGCTGTTTTTGCTCTCTCCTCTCTCTCTCTTTCTCCTTCTTCTGAGACAGAGTCTCGTCGTTGCCGCCTGAGTGTTATGGATCTCGCCTAGCTCACAGCACCTCAAACTCTGGGCTCAAGCATCCTCTGCTTCAGCCTTCCAACGCTGGATCTCGCATGCGCCACATGCCAGCATTTTCTTTTCTCTCTATTCAGTAGCTGCTCCAACTTCTGCCCTCAAGCAAACCTCTCTCCTCAGCCTCCCCAGAGTGCTACGATTACGTCCATCCAGCAAACATTTCTAATTGCTCTAATTGCTCACCTGGCCCTAATTTTGTTTTTAATTTAAAAAACTGGTATTTTAATCTGGATCTAGTCCAAAATAAAAATGGCAACTGGGTATTTTTAAGCTAAGACTTATCAAATATTCTTACCTAAGGAAAAAATGTAAGAAGACCCTCTATGGTAAGTAAGTTTAACCTAGAAGTTCACATTATAATCACTTCACCATCTTTTGCCTCAAAAAGAAGATGCATGACTTGAAAAAAATACAATCTATGGTAGTATTCTGTTGCACAACACCTAATTCCAATTACTACCATCCATTCTGTATAAATGAGGTTTTCTCTTCTTATCAACAAATACAACAATGTGTCCATATACACTTAACACAGCATAACTCTATTTTAGAACAAAACATGAGAGTATATCTGTACCTATGTGTGTTTGTAGTGAAAGCACCCATACTGTTATCTTTTTCTTTTCTTCTTTTTTTATTATTATGTTAAAGAATAATTTTTTTGTGGAGATATAGTCTTGCTATATTGCCAGGGTGGTCTTAAACTTCCTGGCTTCAAGCAATCCTCCCCACATCAGCCTTTCTAAAGTGCTGGGATTACAGGCACAAGCCACAGTGCCCCACCAGTTCTGTTTTTCTTTAGATGTCATAAGGATGTCTGCAAAGAGTCTTGGTGATCTACTATTTCATTTTGTAGAAGAAAAAAAGGAAAGTCCAAAAAGAATAAATAACTTTTCTTTGGTTTTAAAATTTATTCTCATGGAATTTCCAAGAATTTTCTTGTCCTATTCGTTGAACTACCCTGAATTGTAGAATACTATATTAGTTGGTTAGATGATTGCTAGAAAATGGATAGTAACTGGCTATTCATGACCATTTTATTACAGACTAATTAAGGAAAATTAGGAAGTAATAACTATTTACAGATTTTAGTTGGTTCCAGAAAACACACATTACAATTAGACCAAAGCAGTTGTTTGGTTCATTGGAATTTATTCCTCAATATCTTTTTCAAAATGCCAACATTGGTGGCAATACGGGTGGTATAGTTTTCTGAAAAAATCAAACTCTCAGCTTTTGACTTTTTAATTCAGATTAAGAAGCTATTAATATTTATTTTTAAAGTGTGGAAGCCAAGCCCCTTGGACCTCTTGAGTTTCACTGAAATATCACTGATACAAGGCAGATTAATTAACGAGAGAAAAGGCATGTGTGTTTAATCCGCACTCACAGGAGCCTTCAGAATGAAGACCCAACCCCCCAGTCAGGTACAGAAGCTCATACAGCACCTTGAGGTTACAGAGAAGAAGGGGGTTTGGATCCTGGCAAACAGGTTATGGGAAGGATGAGAAGAGGAATTCTGTTGAGCGGCCATAAAGTATTACTAGGGAGAGTAAATGGATTGGGTACAGAGATTAACTGGTAAATAGTTCTCTTTGGAATTTGAATGAGTCTGAGAGACATTATGTTGTAAAAGGCTCTGTTCAGGTATGGTTACATTCCTGATCTTACAGGGAGGGTCAGGAAAAAAAAGCAACTGTTCTCCTTTGTGAGTTTGGATTTTAGCCACAGAAAAGGACTTCAACTTCTTTGGCAGGTTGAAAAGACCTTGAAGCTTCTTCAGTTCAGCATGTCAAAGAGCCATATTTTGGGGTATCAATTTCTGAATCCCCAGAAGAGGAAAAAGGGTGGAACTAGAAACCCAGGCTCCCAGGCAAGTCACTGTTTAGGGTGTTACTGTCTTCAACCGAGTCTAAATTCCACATTTATCTTTCCCTGCTGAATTTTTCTTCCGTTTCAGGGTAATTGCTGTCAAGAAAAGATTTGAGGCCGGGCGCGGTGGCTCACGCCTATAATCCTAGCACTCTGGGAGGCCGAGGTGGGTGGATTGCTCGAGAGGTCAGGAGTTCGAAACCAGCCTCAGCAAGAGCGAAACTCTGTCTCTACTATAAATAGAAAGAAATTAATTAGCCAACTAATATATATAGAAAAAAAAAATTAGCCAGGCACGGTGGCGCATGCCTATAGTCCCAGCTACTCGGGAGTCTGAGGCAGGAGGATTGCTTGAGCCCAGGAGTCTGAGGTTGCTGTAAGCTAGGCTGATGCCATGGCACTCACTCTAGCCTAGGCAACAAAATGAGACTGTGTCTCAAAAAAAAAATAAAATCAAATAATAATAATTTTTTTTTAATAGCTAAAAAAGAAAAAGATTTGAGGCATTTGCTTAACCCATGCGCCATCTAGTGGTCACAGATGGGAAAATCCACCTAGAAAACTAACACAATAGCCATTCTGCAACAATTGACAAAGTAGAGCTCTTCACCTTAAAGACCATGCTTAATAAGATATACCAGGTCTTTTAAAGAATTAAACTATCAGAAATTATCTTGATAACCTATTGTTATTTAGATAACAATAACTACTTGATTACCATCCATGCTTATCACATGGATTACCTATGGCAAGAGAAAGGAGTATTTCTGGATGTTTTATGTTGAAATTGATTGGGGACAACTCCTTAGGTCTGCTAGTAATCACTGCTCACTACACCCTTGCCAGAACTAAAATGGTCCAGTGATTCAATGCTTGAGACTACAGGATCAAACTGGTATAGAAATTTCTGTCTCTGCTTATTGCCTGAATGATCCCTGGCAAAAGTACCTACCCCCTCCAGCCTTCTATAAACCTTTTCCGTAAAAAGGAGTTAAAGTCAGAAAACTACATCTTAGGTGCTTACAAAAATGCCCAACATATATTAACTACTCAATAATTGTTAGGCATTATTGATTATGAAACAAGTCAGAAGAACATGTAACATTTTTATATTATTATATTTACCCTATTCTTCAATCCAGCCAATGCAAAAAGCTAAAGCTGTTCCACTAATGCCATAGGTCTGTTGTTAGCAATGGTTGGCTGCTCTCAGAATAGACAGAATTTACAGACTCTTATGGGAATTTCAAAGGGTCAGCATGAACTGCTGTGGGTCACTGGACTCAACTGCCATGAATCTTTTAGAAGCGGATATGGAAAGGGTATCGGCAAATGGAATTTCTGTCCCAGTGGAGATGGGTCCAAAAAAATCTCTTTCAATTTTTTAATGCATATTGGCCCATTCTTAAATTTTTCACTAAATTATTTTTCTGCTTTATGCTGCTCTTTCTTCAGCCTGTCCACTGATCATTAGCTGGACAGTAAACAAGGGAGAGTGATATTGAAATATATCCTAGACCAGGTGCAGTGGCTCCCGCATGTAATCCCAGCATTTTGAAAGGCCAAAGTGGGAAGATTGCTCCAGCCCAAAGGTTTGAGACCAGCCTGGGCAATATAGCAAGACCCTGAGACTCCATTTTGCCTGCAGAATTTTCTACTTATTTTCCATGAGAAGAGTGTTTTAGAGCTAGTAGTCTCTGACAACTTGGATAATTTACTGCCCTATTTTGAAAATGTCACAAAAAAAGAGTCCAATTAAGTCTTTTCTCAATATTACTCTATACTCAGAAAAAAATAGCCTGGAAAAGGCATATTACTATATTTCTTTAACCAAATATTAGGAGTTTGTTAATGTTTTAGTTGCTGTGCTAAACACTTTACATGCATGACCTCAATTAGTCCTCACATCACTCTTAGGTTAAGGGAAAAAAATATAATCTCAGTATTATAGGTAAGTCAACTAGGACACACAGCTAGTAAGTGGCCAAGCTGAGATTCAAATTCAGATTTCTCTGGAGCCTCCTCAAAAGATACAGAAACAGAGGAGCCATGGCTAGCATTACTGTAATCAGAAGCAAGCTCTTACCTCTGGGTACCATGCAAGTAACTAAGAGATTGATGTGGCTCACCAGGTGCAGACCTGTGATCAGTACACACACACACACACACACACACACACACACACACACACGCACTGAAAACTCCCACTGTCTAAACCTTCCTCATTTCTGATGGGATATTCTTACACAATGATGATGAACACCAGTATTGCTATGCTCATATGAGAAAACATTTATTTTGTCTACAAAATTAAGGCCTCGGAAGTTAAAAAATATACATATATATCAAAAGAAGAAAAAGAAGAAGTCGGTAGGGAGTGCAAAATGGGAAAAGGAAATTGGCAATTAGGATTTTTGCTTGATAGAAAATAGCAATTCCATTTTTAAAAAAAAAAGTCTGATCTCTCAAGAAGTTTGTCATATAAATGGAGAAAAAATTAATATACGGAACTGCTTTTCCTGGAGTAAGCAATTATCTGAGAATGAGGATTTACATGTTGGAAAAGGAAGCTGAAAAAATCCAGAGTATCAAGAAAGACACTGAACAATGATCAAGTCTGGAGATTTTATCAATACAGAATGGTTCATTTAACTAATTTTTGTTCAAAGTTATAAAACCAATCTGCCATTTTGAATGCAGCTAGATCTGGAATATCAAGTTGATTGTGGACACGGACACAAGAGTGGTTCTTCAAGTAAACAGAGCATCCAGATGTCCTAGGAGATAAAAGTAAGAAAAATTTAAAAGAAAAAAATCACAGCATGGAACAGGGTACATTTTATTATCTGTTAGATATAAACTGGTAGACATTTTTAAATGATCATGAGGACACGTTCCCTTTGATATGGGCCCCTTAGTAAGTCACAGAGAGTTTTGAGGCTGTGTTGTATCACACATCTCCAGATTAAAGCCTGTCAGGAACAATACGCACTGATTCACTGCAGGCTTTAACCAGACCTGTGTAATCAAGCAGGGAATCCATGGATCACTGGTATGGTGCACCAACCACATTCTCATCAAAAAAGAAATTGTGATGGGTCATGGCATTGTCATTTTTATAATTGCTCTTTTTGAACCACACCTTACCAAAACAATAGAGCTTCTTTCATGGATAGGAAATCTTTTTCTACATAGGCTGACCAATTAAGTTAGTTTTGGAAGATTTCTCTTTATCTAAATTAGAAACATTTGACAATATTTTTTAAACAATTGTTAACACTCACAATAATTTGATTTATATGTTATTTATCAGACATATATCGCATGGACATATATGCAGCAACCATGTAAGTAATATCCAATATCTCTCCTCAGAGAGAAAACAAAATAATATTCTTCAGAGAGATCTTGGATATTGAGTCAGGGAACAATAGGTTTCTATTTTTTTAAAAAGGACATCCAAGTTCTTAGAAACTTCACCAAGGTATTTGAAATTCTAGAGCTGGAGTTTTCTCAGAAATTTACTGGAGGCTATTCTCCACCAAAGTTAAGGGAATAAACCAAGAAGAAGGAAGACATGACATCCAAGAGGAAAAGAAGGAGGTTCAACATTGAAGAACATCAAAAAGAATCCTCTTGAAGACAGAAAAACAAAAAGTTCCAGGACAATAGCTTTACAATAGGCTAAGAAAGCAACTAGTATATATTTGAACAGAATGACTAAACATTCAGAAAAATATTTAAAAATTTAAAATGGAGGTGATAGATTTTCTGATATGTATGTGAGAAAAAGTTCATTAAGAAACATCTGGAGGACTTTTTTTCTTTTTATTTCAGGGTATTATGAGGGTACAAACATTTTGGTTACATTTTATATCATTTCCACTCCCTAGCATGGGTTAGAGACATGCCCTTCCCCCCCCACCCCCCACAATGCTCACCGTGTCCTATAATTGTGAGTTTACCCCATCCCTGGAGAATATTACTACCACGTGAGCACCATAGTGTTAATCAGTCAGTACCAATTTGATGGTGAGCACAAGTGGAGCCTATTCTTCCAATCTTGTGTTACTTCACTTCGGATAATGGGCTCAAGCTCAATTCAGGAAAATATAAGAGGTGCTAGGTCACTGTTGTTTCTTATAATTGAGTAATATTCCATTGTAAACATATACCAAATTTTAATAATACACTCATGAATTGATGGGCACTTAGATTGTGTCCACATCTTTGCAAACCAAGAAAAGAACAATAAATAGGTCAAGGACAAGATAATAAGTTGTAGGAGAACAGAAATAAAATCTTAATACATGTGTGAGTCATATTATGGGGCCATAATAATGTCCTTGGTGAATATTGATTTAATCCAAAATTATGATATAGCTATTAATGTACAGGAAATGACACAAGAAAGCAAAATCCTCATCTATGTAAAAAAAGTCAATAGATATTGCCTGATTTCAGGTCTGGGATAAGAAAGAAATGTGCACAAGATAAGCCCGGAGTATCTTGTTATTTCTGAAAACAATGCTATTGAAAGTTACTGAGCATGGCTACAGGGCTTCAAAATGCTGTTCTCTCTACATTTGTTTTTGTTTAACACTTTTCATTACAAAAAGTTTAAAAATGGGTTGGGGAGTAGAATTGGGGAAAGTAAAGGGAACTGTTATAGTAAATGAGCCTTTGTATTGTTTGAATCCTTTACAATGAGAATGTAAGTTTATTTGTTCCTTATGTAATTTTTAATTAATTTTAATTTGAAGTTAAAACAGAAACAATGGTATAAGCATGTGTAAGGCAGAGTCCTCCAGAGAAGCAGAACCAATAGCATATGGAGAGATATATGGAAAGAGACTTATCATGGGAGATTGGCTCACACAATTATGGAGGCTGTGAAGTCCCACAACCTACCGCCGGCAGCTGGAGGCCCAGGAAAGCCAGTAGTGTGGTTCTACTTGGGAAAGCCCAGAGGCCCAAGAAACGAGAAGTGCTAATGTCCAAGGATAGGAGAAGATGGATGTCCAGCTCAAAAAGAGAAGGGATTTGCCCTTCCTCCACCTTTGTGTTCTATTCAGACCTTCAGAGGATTGCAAAATGCCTGCTCATGCCAGTGAGGGCAGATCTTCTTTTCTCAGTTCAAATGCTGATCTTTTCTAGAAACACCCTCACAGACACACCTAAAAATAATTTCTCACCAGCTATCTGGGCATCCCTTAGCCCAGTCAAGTCCACACATAAAATCAACCATCATGAAGCGTGTTAAAAGTGTGGAGTTAAATGCCACTGGAGACAATTGGGGGTTGGAAATGTTGGCCAATGGGAATACAACCAGGACATGCAGAGAGGGGAGCAGCAACAGTTGTTTTGTTGTTTGTAAGTCTCTTGGTATTACTTGGTGTTTAAATTATATTCATATTTTACTTCAACATAGACAAACATGAGTCACACAGACCTTCATTCAAAACCCGATTTGGGCATTTATTAGCCTTGAGCAGTGGCTTAATCTCCAAAAATTTCTTCATCTATGAAATAAAGACAACATATCCCCTTGTGGAATCATGCAGTTTTAGTGTAATACGTTTAGAGCACCTGTATTATATTTAGAACCTTTGCAGAAGCTGAGCTTTGGTTCTGCTAAAAGCTAAGGCAGATGGTCAAAACCTGCCGAAATATAGCCCAGATGGATGCAGATGTGTGTGTACAGCAGGGGACAGGCGGTCAATGTTCTTTTCCAATTTAAGGTACAGAGAGCACTGGAGGAATCCATGTCCTTCATGTATCAGATGTTTTGGGGGCAAAAGTCAAGTCTCCCTCTTGAAAGGGGTAAAGAAGCTTTCTCTAAGGCATGAGAATACTAACAAAAAATTAACAACCAGTCAATACTAAACTGAATACTGGTCATATAAAATACCAAAACCCTTCAATTCCATTAAGGTGGCTGCGGCTTGAACAAATCCCCAGGGAGCTCAGAGTAAGCAAACTGGCTTTTCTACACATTCAATATCGCAGCTAACAGAAAGGCAGAGTAAAGAAAAACGTGGATCAAATATGTGGTGGTTAATATCAGTAAGGCTAAATCAGGAAGATGCTTAATTTTTATATGGGTCTTAACATTTCTTTAATATTCATTCTAATGATGTGTCAATTCTTATAGACTCTAGAGATGGGCTGAATTCATGCTTCTGATTATAACAGTCTTGTTTTAATAAAGAAGACATAATTGAACAGCTGGTACTGCAAATTTGTTCTCTCTCTCTCTTTCCCTCCCTCCCTCCAACACACACACACATACACACACACACACACACAATTTATATCAGCCTAAATACCTATTTTATGTATTTAAATATTTAAAGTATTTACTATTGATATACTTTTATTTTATATACTTTTCACTAAATTGAAGCTCAGGGAGGATGCAGACTCATTAGACTCAGGGTTCATGGATTCCAAATTGCTGCTGACTCACTTATACCTCCATGACCTTAAATAAGTTACCTGGTTGCCTTGATCCTCAGTTCCTACATCTGAAAAATGGGGATAATGATAATACAAACCTCAGAGGATTGTGGTAAGGGCTAAAGAAGCTAATCTACACCAAGTGATTATCACGGCACCTGGCACAGAGCATGGGCTCAGCAAATGTTGGATGGTATTATTGTGACCACTACGACTTCAGACAGGATTTACTGTATGTCAGGCACTGCTCTAGTGCTTTGTAACTATCAATTTTCTTGTTCCTCAAAAAACCCTGCAAAGTAATTATTATATCCCTTTCATATTTGAGACAGTAAGACAGATAAATCAAGGAATGCATCCAGGATCACACAGCTCAAAGGTGGCAGAGCTGGAGTTTAGACCATGACAGCCTTTCAGCAGAATTCGTGGTGTGACCATCCTCCTCTTTTCCCTCTTCTTTTCCCTGTTATTTTCTAACTATTCCTAGCAATATGCATTAAATAGATACTTGTCAAATTGCATTTGTACAAGAAAGAGATAGCATGAGGAAGATTCTAGTAACAGACGGGGAAGTCATTTCACAAGGTCTTAAGGGCTTTTTGATCACCGTTACTTAAAATATGAATGTTCTGATTTAAAACAATAATATTCTTGTTTAATTATCTCACAAATAAATAAATATCAGTTACCTATATTATTATATAAGAGAAAGTAGAATTTGAATAAGGTTTAAAATATTATCATGCAATGAGTCATTTCAATAATGCTTGTTGTTTTTTCACAGCAAGCAAAAAAGTCTCCAGAGATTTAAAGCAGGGAGATTCACCAATTATCTTTATTTGTAGGGGTGAAGATAACATTTCACTCCAAGGCTGAGCTGTGATATAGAAGAAAGCATCCTAAGGTAATTTGTTTTCAGTGGGATTTGAAATAGAACATATTAACCCAAAATTTATTTGCAAGCATTTCATTACCTCTGACCAATGACCTGCTAAAGATAGGGGCTGTTTCCGCTTCAAATGACTTATCTAGAATCTAGTGTTCCCCCAGTGACTTTTCACATGAGTGCATGAGATAGGCAGAGTTTGCATTTTACAAACTCCTCTTTGGACATCAGCATTTACAATTTCACGCTGGCAGGTTGCTACTGGAACTGCGAGTAGCTTCCGTCTGCTCACCGACATGCTCTCTGACTGTACCATCAGCTTCTTAAAAATGTACATCACACGGACATGGAGTCTCCACGAGGTTACTCCATGGGCTCCAGTTGCCTGTAAAATAAACATGGACATAATCAAACCGTAAGATACAAAGAGGTCTGTGTGCGTATAGGATGATATTGGCCCCAGATGAAAGAGGAAAGATGAAAAGCCGAATCCTAACAACTGCGTCGTCATTCTAACAAAGCAGGCTAAAAACATGCTGTAGGTGTTTTTTTTTTTCTTTATCGTTCATTAACTGAGCTCAGATCACATTTAAAGATACTGGCTTGCATGGGGTAACACTTAATCCAGCCTTATCCCACCTCTCAAAGAAATCCAGAGTGGCAGGGATGAAGGAAAATGAAATGCTGAAAAAAAAATACTGATTTGTATTGACTAGGTTTTACTCATCATACTCCCAAAATTAATTGCTAAATAATTATTTGAAAAGGTGAAGAGTTAGCAAACTGGGGCCAATTATTTAACTTCTCTGGGACTCGGTTTTCTCAACACACCTTCTCTGCATTTAGCCATACTAAATTATTTGCAGTGCCTTAAAAGAGCCACATCTGTTTAATGTTTACATTTTCAGCCCCCACCCACATCTATTGCCTGGCACTTCGTAATTTCTCAGTAGATATTTAATTTTAGAGTTGCAGGAAAATCTACCATAGAAAATAATTGGTGATAAGAAGGAACATAGTTACTAATTTGCTGTTTTCTGTCTCTGTCTCTCATTATGCAATTAGTTATGCTTGTATGAATATACAAGCCCTGAGAAAATAAACCATTTCCAAGAATTTATTAGAGCGAGAGACTTTGCCTTGAACTAGGTCAGAGAGTTCCAGCAATGTCTTGGTCATTAATATAGCATACTTTTACTTTGTTTCTGGATGCTTTTAATTTTTACAATGAAAATTAAAGATGTAAAGAAGTCCAGAAACCTGAAACAAACCAAAATAAAAATAGAGGGGTAATTGAAGAATGTCACTTGTCATGCAATATTGCTTTCATTTGCTTATGTGGCTATTCCTTCTACCAAGCTGTGAACTTTTTGAGGGCAAGAATTCACTGGATCTTATTCATCTTTATATCCAGGGATGATACTCAAAATATTTAACAATTGGTATGAGACAGGCTCTGACCAATTGGAATGGATGCTAGTTGTAAACCACCAATGTGGCTATACTTGTGTACTGGGTAAGTACGGTTGTCCCTTGGCATCTGTGAGGGATTGGTTCCAAGAACCTCTCCCCACCCGCATATAACCGATGTACGTCTCCCCATACACTTTAAATCATTAAGTACCTACAGTACCTAACAAAATATCCATACATCACTCCATTCATGTGAATTCATTGTAGTACTTGGCATATAGCAAATTTGCTTTTTGGCAATTTGTGGACATTTTTCCTGAATATTTTTGAACATTGGTTTAATCCATGGATATGGAGGGCCAATTGTATTAGTCCTATTCTATCCCTAGTGCCTAGCACAATGCTGAGGAAAACACTAGATATTCAATAAATGTTTGTAAATGCATGAAAAAAGGAATGAATGATAATAAATGCCTGTCAATGCCTGGCTCTTAAAGGATTGTCCTACTATCATTTTTAAAATCTTCTTTGGACTCAATGCACAGTACAGGGAGGAGGGAATGATGCTATTAGGAAAACCACTATGGAACTACTGGCAATGGATTCAATTAGTCCAGCACTTTTTTTTTTATAATAATAGAGATTAGGTCTCTCTATGTTGCCCAGGCTGGTCTCAAACTCCTGGGCTCAAGTAATTCTCCCACCCTAGCCTCCCGAAGTCCTGGGATTACTACAGGCATGAGCCACTACAGCCAGCTCTTTGTGGTACTCACTAAAACCTTAGGTATTATTGGGGACATAATTTCAGTAATAAACATAGAAAGCACATTAAAGTTCTCCCATGCAATGAAGACTGTGGTCCCAGACAACAGGCTAGTTGTACTCAGCATTTTTTGTCCAGCCACGCCTAATTTGGATATGGAAATCGCTGATTTATAAGAGGCCTCTAATAGTTATTTTCTGTTAAAATAGGATTATATCGAAAATATTTTTTATCTTCCCATTCTGTAATTTGGCATATGAATTGTTTTAGTTTTTTTATATAAGAAATAGAAGACTGTAAAAAAAAAAGATAACATCAAAGTGTATGGAAACATACTGTTTCCTACTGAATAAATTTGAAAAAAGATCTTAATACCTATAGTTGCTCATTTATCATCAACAAAAGCATCAAATATTTATTGACTCCTTTAATGGAAAATTGTCATTTTGGAAGCTGCTCAGCTTTTATGACCCTTTCTCGAAAGATGTGTGGAGCCTTGGTGAAAACAGTAAACCCAGGAGTCTTCATTCCCTCTAAAAAAGCTAAAGGGCTGTCAAAGGCTGATAGATATTTCTTCCCAATTTCCAGGTATAGGCAAGGGTGGGCATATGGCCTAAGTTCTCCCAGTCACTCTCTATCCTGGAATTTTTGAATTGTGAGCAGAGTGACATGGAAGAAGCAGATGGAGTTGACAGGTTCCAGTGGCTGTGCCCATGGGACATTCTCAACTGCTTCCTGCTACGGAGTCCTCTGGGCCGTGATTATGTGTCCCAAGCTTGGATCTTCGGCTCTCCCTTTCTAGCTTTTAAGATCCTACATATTGTTTCAATAAATATGATTTTAGATAAAGTTAAAGTTAGTTTCTGATATTTTGCACTGAAGAACTGTAAGGTAGAAGACACTGGAATGAAAACCTTGCCCTCTGTGAGTAGCCAACCTAGGTGAAGAGACAGAGAAGACAAGTGAGAGTGCAGACAAAAGGCAGAAAATGAGCAAGAATGGAATGGAAACATATAGAACCTGAGAGAACTTGGGAGTCAGGTCGTTTGGGATAAGAAATCCTCCTTTTCACCGTCCTCGTTCCTTGAATTTCCAAAATAATTGGTCAACAGCCTTGACAGCCGGGTGTCTATATAAGCTCAATCATTGAGACATACAAAGAGAAAATGTGGCCACTGCCCTCAGAGAAAGTGCCATCTTGTTGAAGAGACATATTTCATACATTAAAAATTAGAGAATAATACAAGTCAGGACATAGTTCAGTGTCAGATTTGGTCATGCAGATTGAAAAGCAAGAATGAACAGGAGTAAGACTAGACATTGGAGAAAAGGTGGAGCATCAGCCAATTCAAAATCACCTTTAACTTTTGTCAGTTCAATGAAAATCATCAGTTTAAAAGTAATAATTTCCTATTAAAATGAATTTCAAAAATAGCTAACCCATATATAGAAGTTATAATGCCCCAGCAGTGTTCTAAGTGCTTAACATATATATCAACTTAATCAATGTGTTCTGGTAAATACTGAACAATCTTTCCTGGGACAGGCAGGGTGGAACCCTGAATTGTAGAGTCTGCCAATTTCTGCGGTGTAAATACTCCTGCTCTGGCTGATTTCAAGATCCCAAAGTGATGTCAGTGAAGGTGGAGTTGGAAAGACGTGTCACCTTGCAAGTCCACTCCAACATACCACTTGTCCCGAATTTCTTGCACACGAGATCCAATCAGGATCACATACTCAACATTGATGGGCTGGATCTGAAAAGGGATTTAGAGGTCAACTTGCTCAACATCTGCATTTTCAGATGTGAAATATTAGGCCTCAATGCAGGTCATTGACAAACTCATGGTCACACTAGTAACTAAGAGCTAACTCTGGGGTCTGGGTAGACAAGAGGCTGAATTCCAATCTAATTAGTCAGGTTTCCATTCAAAATGCAGTCCAATCCTGAAAGTGATCTCTGTGTTCTTAGTCTGGGGTGGGGGTGGGAGAGGATATCCAAATATCAAGTATCTAATATCTCCTTTTCAAATGTATACACCTTTCCTGGCTACCATTCCAGGCTTCTCTCCCTTGGATGATCTTGGTTTTGCCTTCTCTTGTGTTTCTTGCACAATATATAAAAAGGTAATCATGTGTTTGTGTAACAAGTTTTGTAACAAATAGAAAAACCCTCTAAAAAATGAACTAAAAGAATAAAAAGACAATCAAATTGGAATCAGGCTGTTTGCTTATTCCATGCCTATGTGAGTGCTTATGGAATGGTCCTTGTTCCAAAGTAGCTTCTCCACCTTCTGTTACTATGCCTGAAATTTCACCACTCATACCGCGGAACCTTAAAAGATTTTCCCAGTTTCCTAAATCCTATGGCTTAAAACCTGGAGATTAGTTATTTTGCCATATTTCTTAGGAAGAGACCATTGATAGCTAAAGAAAAGTTATGAAAATCAACATGTCAGAGATTTTAAAAGTTAGTTATCAAATGTTGAATTAAGAAAGCCTCATTTAAAAAAAACTTCACATATTTAACACTTTTGCCTACATTTGGAGTTAATATCATTAGAAATTCTTTGACATACAATAAGATTTTAGTTGTGAAGCCTACTAAAATAAAATTCTGTCAGATAACTCTCATGAACAGAAAGAAATAATACTTTTTATTGCTTCTTAAAATAAAAAAAAATGTTTAAGAAATGCCTTCTGTGCTATTTTGACCCCCAAATTATTTTATTTTTATGTTGTTATTATTTTGGGGATGTCCAGCTAAGCATTTGTTCTGTAATAGCTTATAGTCCATGTAGAATTGTGCTGGTTTTAGAACTGCTTTTGGATATTAGCGATGGGGCATGGGATTCATTATGCTTTTGAAATATTAGAGTGAACTGGCTGGTTATCAGCGCTGTGAAAGGAAACCCTCTCAGCTGACTGCTTAGCTCAGAGATTGTTTCCTTTGGCAGACAACATAAAGAGGATATTTGCTTTACCCATGAAATGTATATTTAGTATAAATAGTAAGCATAACTTTACATCCCTGAGTGGATGAAAAATGATCTGTTTACTCTGAGAATATCAAACCAGCAATTTTACAGGTCTTGATAAAAAGACCAAAAAAAAAAAAAAGTATTTGATTTACTCTGTGGTGACCAGGATCAGACTGTGTCAGCTAAATCCCCTCCTACTCCATTCCCTCCTCCCACACTCAGCTCTAA